AAAAAAAAAAAAAAGACAAGGAAAGAAATAAAAGGAAGAAAAAAGGAAGGTAGGGGAATGAAGGAAAGAGTGATAAGTTTGGAAAGAAAGGAAGAAGAAATAAAGCAGAAAATTTGAAAAAAAGGACAAAAGTATCAAAAGATAAAACAGTAATAAAATTTAAAAGAAATAACAGATTACTTTAAAAAAGCAAAAAGACAAAGGAAAGGAAAGGAAAAAGAATAAAAATAAAATAAAGTAAAATAAAATTTTAAAAAAAGAAAAGAAAGAAACAAAACAAAAAAGAAGGAAACGTTGCTTATTGGTTTCAAACTGGCCAAACCGGTTTTTCTGTTGGCACCTCTCCAGAACTCCCTACAATGCGCAACTAGGATTTCCTCTCAGTGCTCTTTTCCCAGGGGTTACTGCTGTGGGTTGGGTTGCAGGGTGCCCCGGCCAAGTTGCCTGGTTCCCGGTTCATCAAGCACAGAGCACAGACCTGCCCCGTTCTGTGGGGAAGCTCCAGGCCCTCTGCCCGACCTCAGGTTCTCTGCCAGGTTGGATGTGGTGCCGACTGGGCAGTTTTGTCTATTGGATTCAGAACCCCACACTGTACCTATCAGATCTCCGGGGCTGGGAAGCACAGAGTCCTCAGCACCCTCTCTTTAAACTGTAGCAAACAAGTCTCTCCTGGCACCCAACCTTGCTTGGCCAGAAAAAGAGGGAGTTGAGGATCTCAGCTCTTTCCCCAGGACCCCTCGGCAGGCCCGTGGCTTCCAGATAGTCTGAGGGAGATGAACTGAAAGCTGGGAGCTGATCTGAGGGCTGGGTGCCGGCAAAATGCTGTGCACTCCTACGTCAAGGCACGCTGCAGGTTGTGTACTGATCCCCCGAACTGTGCGCCTTCTGCTCCTGTCTTTGTTTGGGTCCCCTGTCAGGCCCAGCCACGAAATCCTAGGGAGGGAGCATCACGGGGGAAGTTGGCCCAAGCGCGCCCGGCAATCGCCCAGATACACTGCTCGCGGGTGCTGGCCCCCCAACCATGCACCAGCCGAAAGCTCTTCAGCTCCTGTCTTTGTTTTGTGAGGCTGCAGCTTCCAGACGAATCCAAAATAGGGGTTTGCATGGGTCACTGGTCCAGAACGCTGGACGCTCGTCAAGGAATGCTGGGCGCTCATCAAGGGGTGCTGTGCGCCGAGCACTGCTCCCTGGACTGTGCACCCCCAGATTCCTGGCTGTTCCTCTCTTTGCTCCATCCCAGAGATTCTACTGTATTGCTGCTGACTCCCTACCATTTGGTTCCTCTGTGACCGTGGAGATTTCTGGTCCCTTATTTTCATATATGTTGGGCAACTGCTGGCTTGCTGGCTTCTCCTCCGCCCACAGGTTTCTCTCCCTTGTGTACAGGAACTGGAATCTGCTCCTTCCTACTCCGTCGCCATCTTGCCTCCGTCTCTTCATCCTTTTTTTTTTTTTTTAAAAAATGTTTTATTGATTATGCTATTACAGTTGTCCCATTTCCCCCTCTTCACTCCTCTCCACCCTGCACACCCTCTCCCACCCACATTCCCCCAGTTTAGTTCACATCCATGTGTCGTAAGTTCTTTTGCTTCTACATTTTTCATAGTATTCTTGCCCTCCCTGTCTATTTTCTACTGACTGTCTATGCTACTTATTCCCTGTACCTTTTTTCCCCTCTCCCCTCTTCCCACTCCCCTGTTGCTAACCCTCCATGTAATCTCCATTTCTGTGGTTCTGTTCCTGTTCTAGTCATTTGCTTAGTTTGTTTTTGTTTTAGGTGTGGTTGTTAATAACTGAGTTTGCTGTCATTTTCCTGCACATGTTTTTTATCTCCTTTTTCCTAGGTAAGTCCCTTTAAAATTTCATATAATAAGGGCTTAGTGATGATCAATTCCTTTAACTTGACCTTATCTGGGAAGTACTTTATCTTTCCTTTCATTCTAAATGAAAGCTTTGCTGGATAGAGCAATCTTGGATGTAGGTCCTTGCGTTTCATGACTTGGAATACTTCTTTCCACCCCTTCTTGCCTGCGAGGTTTCTTTTGAGAAATCAGCTGACAGTCTTACATGCACTCCTTTGCAGGTAACTCTCTTCTTTTCTTTTGCTGCTTCTAAGATTCTCTCCTTCATTTTAGTCTTGGTTAATGTAATTATGATGTGCCTTGATGTGTTTCTCCTTGGGTCCAATTTCTTTGGGACTCTCTGAGCTCCCTGGACTTCCTGAAGTTTATTTCCTTTGCCACATTGGGGAAGTTCTCCATTATTTGTTCAAATAACTTTTCCACTTGTTGCTCTTCCTCTTCCCCTCCTGATACCCATATAATTCGGTTGTTGGAATGTTTAAAGGTGTCCTGGAGATTCATAAGCCTCTCCTCATTTTTCTGAATTCTTGTTTCTTCATTTTTTTCTGTTTGGTTGTTTATTTCTTCCTTCCTTCTGGTCCACTCCCTTGATTTGAGTCCCAGTTTTCTTCCCATCACTATTGGTTCCCTGTGCATTTTCCTTTATTTCACTTAGCATAGCCTTCATTTTTTCATCTAATTTGTGACCAAATTCAACCAATTCTGTGAACATCCTGATCACCAGTGCTTTGAACTATGCATCTGATAGGTTGGCTACCTCTTCGTTACCTAGTTGTATTTGCTGTGGAGCTTTGATCTGTTCTTCCATTTGGGCCATTTTTTTTTTTGTCTTCTCGCACCTGTTTTGTATAAGGATGGAGCCTTAGATGTTCACCAGGGCAGGGCAACCCATGTGGCTGTGTTGTGATGCTGTATGTGGGGGAGAGGTGTGAGAGGGAACAGTGGTGGTGGCTCTGCTCTCTGTCGGATTTCAGTCCCTTCTGCTGCTTCCCCCAAGCAAACTGGGCCTTTCTGGTACTGATTCCTATGTGGGTGGGCTTGTATATATTCTAGGACCCTGTGGGCCTCTCCAAAGGACTCTCCTGTGAGGCTGGGAGTCTCTCCCTGCACCTCAACCCCCATAGATGTTTTCAATCGGTGTTTTGAGGCTTTATTTCTCGGCACTAGGACCCTGGGTTGCGTGGTCTGTCTCACTCCCCAATTTTGCCTGGTTTATCTGAGTGCAAATGTGAGACTGCCTGGTCAGCCAGCTGCCTTGCATGCAGTGCCTCGCTTCACAATTGCCACCTCGCTGAGTCTTCCAGCTGCCGCCTGCACAGCCAAGGTCTTCTTGCTGCTGTCCAGTGTTCCTGGGGTGACTTGTGCACCCAGTGCCACTGCTTTTTGTGCCTTGACCCCTCTCTGCTGGGTAGCCTGACTCCACACCACCTACCGATGAATGTGTCTATTTTATCTCCTTGGTTGTCCAACTTCCATACAGTTCAATTTTCTGTCAGTTCTGTTGTTACTGTGTTTATAAATTATTGTGCTTATTTTGGTTGTGCAAGGAGGCACAGTGTGTCTACCTATGCCTCCATCTTGGCTGGAAGTCTGCATCATCCTTTTTGGAACTTAGCTAGGAGTCTCCCAGAAGGGCGATTTGCTCTATAGTCCAAGCTTCAGAGGTAAAGAAAACCCACAGTCTCAGAAGGGAGAAAACAGTTAACAGGTTTGTCTAAGGGAAGAAGCAGTTTTTAGGTGGATGATAATTAAACAAAAGTTCAAAATTCAATCAGGTGCCAATTTTGGCATCTGCAGAGATTCAATTAGTCATGATTAAAGCCACAGACTGGAAATGTGGTGCCCTCTGAACATTAGTGCCCCAGGGCGGTGCCTGGAGTTCCTGGTGTGGGTGGGGGCCTGTCCAGCAGCATAGGCCAAGTGGCAGGTATAGCAAGAGCAGCAGAAGCCCCAATGTGCAGTGACCATGCTGTGGGCTGTATTTTCATGTTAGACAGGGGGCCACCTGGCTCTGCCCAGGCTTAGATAGGTCTCTGAAAGAACTGTGGCCAAGACTTTTTCTATAGTTTTTCTAAGGAGCTTTCTTGCTAAGTGGAATCAATCTACTTCTCTTGGGCAGATGGTGTTTTAATACCAGATGTCTTCTCCTGGTCAGGCAGCAGTTCCAGGAGGGCCATTTCCTAAAAGATATCTTGAAAAGATACCCAGAAATAGCTGCCAGGAGGGTGGGATTTTGCAGACAACTCTGAATGGGTTGCTAGAATGCCTTTTCTCTGGCAATGCTTCTGTCATTTTACACATACATTGAACACCATGTGCCATAGCACATCCTAGACACACCTCTACTGAACAAATGAATGATCACTATTGTAGTCTCCATTTTAGTATGAGCAAACTGATGCTTAGAAAGGTTAAAAATCACATGAATACTATGACTAGGAGGAGCTAGGACTGTCTGAAATCAGATCCTGAGGTTGTTTTTTTTCCAGAAAATAAACCTTATTTTGAAATAAGGTTAAACTTGTGAGGTTTGAAAAAGAGTCATGAAGCATGAAACTACTCACACAAGTTAGTTTCCTTCCCTCTTCCATAATCTCTCTGATAGTCCAATTCATACTAAAGCTTCTATTAAGGAAAGTCTAATCTTTCTCTGTTGTCTTGGAAAACCTTCTCCTTATCTCTTACCACCTACCCTTTTGTCCATCTCACCATGCCCTCTTCTCCCTGTATTAAAAACAAGCTTTTAAGAGCAGCTCAAACATTGTCTCCTCCAGACAGTCTTCCCAGATTGAACCTCTTAAACTCCTCTGTTCCCCAGTGGCCTGTCAGTCTTGCCATTCATGCTGTTGGCCTGTAATATAGGCATTACAGTCCCTGTTATATGCACTCCCTCCCATGCACACCAAAATTTGAATATTCATAGCAGCTTTGCTCATAATAAGCAAAATGTAGAAACAACCCAAATATCCACCAGCTGGTGAACAGAGAAACAAAATCAGCATATCTATATAATGGAATATTCAGCATGGAAAAGAATGAAGTACTAATTTATGTGTGGAAGTCTTGTATGTTGTCCCTGCCACAGGTACCCCAAAAGCAGGGTTTAAGACTTTTGCTGTGTTTCCCTTCTCTTCCCAGCTCTGCTGCCCATGGACTCTGGGGAACAAGAGCCAGCTACCAGGGAGGTCTCTCCAGACATGGCCACCTTCAAGGTCAACCACAATATGGTAAATATAGGAAGAAATAAATTTCTCCTAAAAAAGAACATTGATCCTCAAAATCCACAAAATAACACAGGATGGGAAAACCCTGAGCCAGCTTGAGTAGGACACCTTCCTCATCATTCCCTCCTCAGAGGTAAATGTTGAACTAAGGGTCAAGGCAATTTCCATACATGTTATTGGTCCTCTTTCCTCTCCCCACTTCTTTTGCCCCCTGGTGAGCATCCAATTATGATGGGGTTCCTGAAAACCAGTGGCTCACAAGAAGCAGCATGTATATGGAGGGAACACTGGACAAGGAGGTTGACTACCTGGGCTCTGCTTCCCACTCTGACACTTCTCAATTGTGTGTCCTTGGGCAAGGAATTTCAACTTCCTCACCTACAAAGTACTAGAGTATAAGATTCCTCAGGGCCTATCTTGCATACTTTCTGAACTCCACAGCACTTAACACAGTGCCTGAACACAGCAGGTGAACAACATTTTCTCACTCATTTAAATGGTGCGTAAAACTGTTCTCCCCTACCTTACAGGGTTGTTTTGAATATCTAATGATGTCATGTAAGTGAAAAGGCTTGAAAGGCTTTACAGTTGTCATGGATGGAAGAGACCAGCCCTGACCTGGTCAAGCAGTAGTCAGACATCGGCCTGCTTTTATGCCCTCTGTCAGATGTTCATAGCAGCTTTATGTATCTTTTATATTTTTGCAGTTGCCAAAAATTTGAAGCAACCCAAATGGCCATTAAAAGGTGGATGAATAAACAAATTGTGGTGTGTCCATATAATGGAATGCTATACAGTAAGAACAAAAATAAACTACTGATCCAGAGTACATACTGTATAATTTCATTCATATGAAATTCTAGAAAAAGCAAACTAATCTAGAGTGACAGAAAGCACATAAGTGCTTGCCTGAAGATGGGGGTAGAAGGAAGGGTGAATTACAAAGGGGCACAAGGAAATTTTTTGGTATGATGGAAGTGTTTGCTGTCTTGATTATGGTGATGGTTCAGTGGTGCATGCATATGTCAAAATTCATCAAGTTGTGCACTTTAATTTTGTGCAGTATCTTATACTTTAATTAGAGCTCAATAAAGCTGTTAAAAAGAAAGATTAGTTGGGGATGATTTTCCTCTTGGGGCTGTCTTTCCCCCTCCATCTCTCCCCTTCAAGAGTAAAGGTTCTGAGAGATAGGCATATGGTTATTCTTTCTGGGTGGTGAAAAGGGTGGGGAAAACTCTCCTGTAGAGTTTCAATCTGTTTCTTAAGTTTTTTTGCTAGACAACTGCAAGGAAACAAGCTTATTTCTAGTTTACTGTTCTCTCTTCTTTCTCCCTTCTGAAGGTTTTAGTTCATTGCCTTAGTAGATTTTTGGATGGAGGACAAGATTATATGGTGGCTGCACCCCAAGCTAGTCCTGGATACAACCTTTATGACCATAAATCATCTATCACCCAGTCCTTCAATTCTCCTACACACCAGCCTGACTTCATCACCTGCATCTCATTCAAGGTGGCCATCATGGAGGATACGGCATCTTAATGATAATTTTCTCTGGAAACATGGCACTGTAATGACAATTTTCATCAGAGACTAATCCAAATAAAATCTCTAGCTTCTCCAAAAACTTCAGGCTTTGGGGAATGGGAACTAGAGGAACAGATGTCATAAAATCTCTTCACTCTAGAGACTACTCTGCTAACCCAGAGTCAGTCTCTGGGGCTTAACAACCAATTTCAACTTCATTTAATACCTGCTGAGTTTCTCTAGCCCACAAGTGTCTGAATCCTTTCTCAGCCTGCTGCTTGGTTTTGCTAGTGTTCTTCTGATTTACCAACCACACACTCCTGCAGAGTGTAATTACACAACAGTTTCAACAACCTTCATTACTTGCAGAAATAACGCCATGCTTACACTCACACCAAGCTAAGAAGGCAAGGATGAGTACCTCATTTAGGTCCTTATTGTGAAGGGACTCAGTCATTATGAAGAAAGATCGCGTGAGCATTTATATCATTTATCTCCCTGGGTGGGGCTTTTCTCCTCTAGTCAAGCCCCTTTTGCTGCACATATGGGCCTGGGAGAAGGCTAGTAGTAACGAGGCCTCTGCTCATTAGTCTGAGCACCATAAGGTAGGTTGGAGGCCATGCTTCCTTTATCAGCCTAGTCCAACACCCGAAGCCTCAGGATGGACAACCTGTCTGCTGCAAATACCACTTCTGCTTCCAGAGGCTGATCTGCACTTCTAAACAGGAATGCTGATTTTCTGTATTCTGTTATCCTCTCCGCTGCCCTACAATTCCCTGAGGAGCCCTGGAGCTTTCTGGATAAAGAGGAATATTTATCTCTTTAGCAAAATAAGATAAATAAAGAGGAAGGGGTAGGGGGGCTCACATAACAGCAACTGCATCAGGACTGTGAGTTTGTAAGTCCCAGCTTGTCTCTCAGACACACCAGATCTTCAGGAAGTTATTCTTTTCAGAAAGGCACTCTATACTTTTCTGTTGGGACTGCCATAACAAACAGCTTAGACTGGGAGTTTAAGCTACCGGTCTGGGTGAATGTGTCTATTTTAACTCCTTGGTTGTCGGACTTCCATACAGTTCAATTTTCTGTCAGTACTGGTTGTTTTTTTTGTTTCTAAATTTTTGTTGTCCTTATTTTGGTCATGTGAGGAGGCACAGTGTGTCTACCTAAGCCTCCATCTTGGCCACTTAGTTAGCTCTTTAAAGGCTGTGTCCCCAAATATAGTCACATTCAGAGGTACCAGGGGTTTGGGCTTCAACATACATCCTTTGGAGAAACATGATTCAGCCCATAATAATTACAAAGTCCCATCTGGGTGGAAGGATGTCTAGCTTCCTACACTGCATAACTTACTGTCCTCAGTGACATCACATTGCCCAGACCCTGGCCCTACACTCAGATTGACGGTTGAGATCAGCCAGTGAGTGTGAGCCTCCTATTCGTAGGAGATACCCTACACTGCCCAGGCTTCTCAGAGGCTTACCTCAGGCAGATTCTGGCCCACTGATGCACATAGGCCCTACCTCTGGTCTTTTGTTCATTTTTTCCTTTCTTCTTATAAAACCCTCAGATAATACTAAAATAATAATATAATGGCTAATATTTATTGATGCTTACTCTGTGTTAAACATTATGCTTATATAAATATTGAACTATATTATTATTATATCCATTATAGAGATGAGAAAACTGAAACTTGGAGAATCATTTGTCAAAAGCTACACAGCTAGTTTACAGGACCTTGGAAATATATCCTTCACTACACAGATGAGGCCATTTGGAGCTCAAAGGCCCTGTCAGAGAGGGTCTGACCCCATCTTGGAAAAAGGAATTTTGGATGCTTGTTGGGAACTGCCCTGCCTGGTTTCAGGAGCTGTAACCCCCCCCCCCACACACACACACTCATGGCTAAGGCTGAGTGAGCTACCTTCGGACCATAAGCCACTAAGGAGAAAAAGCTTATGTCCCCATCCCTGGTAGGAATGCCACTTCTGCTCTTTTTTTATAACTGGCCCCCAATGCTTGATCAGTTAGACCATGACAGGTAAGATTCCCCAAGGAAGGACCTAAGACAGGCATGATCACGTGGAGGCCCCAAGGAAGGACTCGGGGGACTATGGAGAAAGGGGGTGATGAGACCCTCGCCCCTTGGCTTTGACAAAGCCTGAGTCCTCATTCTGTCTGTGAGAAGTCTCCTAATTTCTTGGCTGCCTTACTTCACTGCCTGACTTGAGCCTGAAACAGTGACAGAGGGCAGTGCAGCCCTGTGCTGGAAAGGGCAGGCTCCCTGGGTGATCAGGCCTGAGAAAGGATATATAAAATCCTGTGAAGCCTGCTTTGCTAAGAATGCTTTTAATTAAATGATAAAGGTCCAAGCAGGAAATGAGTTTGTTTCCCAAAGTTTTGTAGCCCTTTAGCTAACAGACCCTGACTCAGAAGAAGCCCTAATAGTTCTTTATATACTATCTGTTGTTTGATCCTTACTGCCTGACAATGATTAATGAACTTTACCTGTCTTCCTGTGTTAATTGAACCCAGTAAAGCCTGTCCAGGCAAATGTCAGCATGCTCTCCCCTTGAGAGGCATCCAGGCTGCTCTGAGGCACTCCCCCCTTGAGGGAGTAGCCGTGCCATCCCTTTTCCTCCACAGGACTCAGTAGTCCATGTGAACTTGTCTCACATCTCATCCATGAAGCCTCCGGAACTGCGGGCCAGTGAACGCATCAGATGCTGACTGGGGGACTCCAGAAGAGAATAGGGAGCTTGAAGATCCTTGAGTGTCCCATAGAAATTACCTGTGCAGATCTTAGTGTAGTGAGTGAGCTTAACCAAGGAATGTCTAGTTCTAGGGCTCAGGGTTCTGAGGGCAGAGAGAGTGAGAGAGATTAATTGCAAGCTTTCTTCCAGACAGGGAAACTAATTAAAATTCAGAGCACCACACCCTGAAAAGACATTCCAAAGGTAGAAAAGAGGTGGGAAAGGCCTTGAAGATGACTCAGAGATGAGGAGGGTCTTGTATTAGAACAGAGCCTGAGATGGTGAAGATTTGACAATGGGTCTGGAAGACACCCTTTTAAGTTCAACAGAGGGATAGCAGAGGAGATGTTATTTTATACAGTGGTTCAAAGCAAGTGCAACTTGCTTTGTCACTGATTTTGTGCAATATGAAAATATAGTGTAAGCCCTAGAGTTTTAAACTTATATAGGTCTTTGAGATAGAACTTAATAAGAGGTCAGATGAATTATTCATGGGAGATGTATTTAAGGGGCAAATGTCCAAATGGGATGGCAGGGGAAGGACACAATCTAGTCAACAAAAATGACCAGATCTAGCTTCTAGGATCTGCTCTGAAGTTAACTTGTGTGTTCTCTGGCCAGCAGCCTAAACCTCTCAAGGCTTCCATCTGCTTCTATGCAAACTGAGGCGTTAACTACATAAGGGTTAAGGGCCCTCCCCACTCCAAGACTCAGATTCTGTGGTCTCTGGGCAGGAAGAGGCAATCAGAGTGGCTGGGATGGTTGATAAAGGAGGTGCGTGGTGCTCAAAGCAACCTCCATGGGTTTTGCTTAGAGAATACCTTCCATGAGAGCACTTTCTCCAAAAAATAACCATTGCATGATGATCAGAGACCTGATCATCAGAGCATTTGGGAGGGACTATGGTATGACCCAGTAAGCAGTCCTTTATAGACCTATTTAGTGGTATAAACTGGAAAGTAAAAATGGACGGCCACCCGGTGGAATAAACAAATTTTAGAGCATGGCAAACCTGGGTTTGAATCCCAGCTTTGTCATTTACTGTATCTTTGAGCAGGTTATGTAACTTTTCAGTGCTCAAATTTCTCACCAGTACAATTGGGATAATAATACATTCCTCCCAGAGTTGATGGGATAAATAAATTGGATAATGTATATAAACACTCAGCACAATTCCCAGTAAGCTGTAAACCATCACATGGTTATTTCATATTATTATTATCAACTGACAGTAAGTACAGTGGAAAGATGAGACCACCCCATTCAGCCAGGATGGGCTGTGTAACACTCCCTCTCTAGGCTGGGCCTGTCTCCTTGGATGATGTTGCAGGTTTCCATGAAACTAGAATCTGAGGCCTGTCAAGTAGCATGTCAAGTAGAAAGATGGTTATTTAGTTAATTAAGGGTCTAAGAAAGAGCTGAGAAGCTGAGATAGGCATTCCAGAATAGAACTTCTTGACTAATGCAAATAAATCCACAGGGCAACTGAAGTGTAATTACATTTTTTACTGCAGTATTTATGGAAATCTTTTATTCTTTGGTAGATTTACATTCAAACTCAAATGACTTTAAAGGAACAGTTGGGAGAAAATTAAATGTTCTAACTAATTAAATAATGCAACTAATTCTAATTATGCCATTGATATCCACTGAGCTACAGAAGATGTTGCTTACAGAAAAAAAAATACCCTAACAATTAATGTGGTAAGTGCTGATGCCATTTCTGATTTCCTTAATAGAGTCAGACTATTTTTAAGAAGTAAATGAATAGTAAGTGAATATCAATAACAGTAAACAATCTTCTAGTCTTGGTGAAAACTAGCTCAGAAAAATATTGAAAGCTGTTGCCATTATACATCCTAGAGGTATTTTATTTGTGTCTCTGGAAAGAGAAGTTTCATTGCTAAAACACTGTCTCAAGAATTTAACTGTTGGTCTCATTCTCTGTTGAATAACTTAATATCCCCTTGTATGTCTGCAGCACTGGTTTGGAAAGTGATGTTGGCTGTGTTGCTGGAGAATAGGCCCACTGGCTTGGAGCTCATGGAGAATATAGCACAGGAGCTCCAAATCCAAACTGGGGAGCTGCTTAAGTGTTCTTCTTGATATTCAGAAGAAAACCACCTGGTGGACTAGCCAATGGGACATGACATCTATTACTCACATTACAGGGGAATGCACTGACAGTCGCAGGTCAGTGTGAGAGACTGTACCTTGTCCAGTTTGAGGCTTGTTATAAGGGGTCCCAGACAAAGGAGG